GATTCAGAATATCCAAAGCCAAAACGGTAGGAATGTTGGTCTGTAAAGACCCCCAGTTGACCGACATGCGACTAGTATTGGACGGCGAACGTATTCAATTCGTTAGTGAAACCAAGCTACTTTGTGTAACCTTCGATAGAAAACTCTCATGGGAACCTCACATTAAAAACATCACAAACAGATGCCAAATTGTGCTGAACTTAATGAGGAATATATCTGGCAATGAATGAGGCGCCAATGTGGTGACACTCATGATGATCTATCGTGCGCTGATCCGGCCCATCTTGGACTACGGTTCACAGGCATTCATGACCGCCAGACCAATGCTCCTTCATAAGTTAGATGTCATACAGCAAAAAGCCCTCCGACTAGCCACCGGAGCAGGCATCGGCATAAAAACGGAGTCATTACTCCAAGATGTTGGTGAGGTTCCTCTACAAATCCGCAGAGAGGAGTTAGCCCTTAGATACTGGTCAAAGTTGAAACACCTTGGAGAATCATCTCCTACCTACCTCGAGACCGCGAGGTTCAGGCACGCCAAGAAAATGATAAGCTTCAGACAGTCAGTTCGGGATTCCGTTCGGAAATATGGGCTAGATAGATTGCCCATAAAGCCTCTTGTATTTTCCCAAGTTGCTCCTTGGACGGTTTCGCCCCCCATTGTCGACACCTCTCTCGCCTCGAGATTGGATAAGAAACGGGACGATCCTTGCATCGCTCGAATGATCGCCTTAACTCATATGGATGCAAGGTGGTCGGAAAGCATACGTATCTATACTGATGGTTCACATAACCCGGATGATGTTACAACGGGATTGGGGATCTACGTCCCCTCGAGCAGCACAAGAATTAGCAAGCGATTGCCCAATAACTGCTCAGTGTACACTTCAGAGATGCTTGCAATCCTCTACGCAGTGAAATATTCCGCGGGCCACTATCATTCAAATTATGTAGTACTAAGCGACTCGCTAAGTAGCCTGACATCGATACTCAACGATTCCTCTAATTCCCAAGCGGAGCTAGTGGATGAAATCAGGCAAGCGTGCTCACTTGTACATAGTCAAGGCAAATCAATCGAGTTGGCATGGATCCCGTCTCATGTCGGCATACAAGGGAACGAAATTGCAGATGAACTCGCAAGAATAGGACTAGGACTATCGGAGATTGACCGGATAGACTACAGTTTATCGGAAATAAGAAGCATGATCACAAAAAGCATCAAATCGACATGGGAGGCAACTCTCATAGATGCTAATGCATTCCGCTTCCGATTAAACGATAGCATTAGCAGTAAAGTGTTTTTACACCACCCCAATCGACAGATCTGTCGAACGGTCGCCCGTCTGAGAATGATGGGTGAGGTACGAAATCACAAATACG